CGAGCCGATTCCCGGACTGTCCGGACGCTAAGACTATCGTAGACGCGACGCAAATATAGATTAGGATGGTTCAAATTTTTATAAGATATTATTATTATTTATTGTGAAATTTTGCCGCCCCCTAAAAAGTGCCGCCCGGGGCGGGCCGCCCCTGCCGCCCCCCACTACGGTACGCCACTGATATAATGGCAGAGAGAAAGTAATAAAAAATGTGAGGTGAACAGATGAAAAGGGGACAGATACAAAAACCAAACTATCTTAAATTAAAACAAAGTAATAAATACAACATGTACTGTACAAAAGAAGTTAAAAATAATGTAACTTAAATTATAGATAACAGAAAATGATAGATACCGGTACACAGAGATATGATGAAGCAAATAACAAGAAGTAATACATCGTATATACCAACAAGAGCAGTGAGCAACTGCTGACAATGCAACAATAACACAGAGACATACCGTAATCAACTGACTTGTGAGTGTATGGCTGAACGTATATGATACTTATGAATCAAGATTTTAAATATTTTGTAGGTGTCACGATCGTTAAAGAGAATATGAAGATCACATGGCCAGTTGATACCCCTCTGGCCAAGAGTAAGGGTAAGCTCATGCCTAACATCCTCAGTTATTGGACACTTATATATGTAGTGCTCAAGTCCATCCTGGCAATTACAGATGTCACAGATTCCTTTGCTGATTTGCCGAATCTTTGCAGGTAAGAGCTAAATCTCCCATGCCTAATGAAGAATTGGATGGTTTCACAGTCCGAAATCAATGGTAGGAAAGGTGATCACTAATTGATGAAAAAAGGCTATTATGGTTATCCCATCTCTTTTGTCAGAGTTTCATATTGTGGTTCCATAGTTGGCGACTAAGAAGAGAGGTCGGGAACACCGAATGCCCGAGAGGATCAGTGGTACTGGCAGTAACCGCAGTCCTGGAAAAAGCCTGGAAAAACCGCTCATTATCGAGTATGCCCCGAAGACCCAGTCGAGGTATGCGAATTCTGTGCAGGGCATATAGTTAAGAATCTCCCTAGTCAGAGGATGAAGGTTATTGGGATTCCCGAGTGCGTTGATCGCAGAAGCATCGTCAGAGCAACTGTACATCGAGAAAAATTTGCCTTACACCATTGTATAGCCATATAAATAGCAATAAGTTCCGCCGAAATACAAAACAATCGGAACCGTTGAGAGCTCGTATGATGCTCGAAAGTAGAACGGGCCATTTTTGCCGTAGGTTTTTTGAACGAACAAAATACGTAGAATGCTTCGCCAGAAAGTGGCCGTGTGGATAAAACCACCGAACGCCGGTAATCGGCGACGGGTTTGTGTCTGGCCATAGGGGTGGCCAGATGGAGTTTACCGAGTTTTCTTCAGGTTTTTAGCACCTAACTATCGACCAATTTACGCGAAAAGTCCATTTAGGCACGTCGCTCTGGAGTCGCGTTGCCTCGTCCCGTCAAAACGAGCCGACTAAATTTCCCATCGTATCCTACTTAAAAATAATTTCATGTAGGATACGATGGGAAATTTCGTAGACGGACGGTATTCGGCGCCGATCGATCACTTATAGATCTTCCTCCATCGTTTCCCCACGTCTCGTCCGCCACCGATAAAATCAGGGCCGGCCTTCTCTATGAAGGGGCCCGGGTACAAGAAACTATTTGGGCCCTACATTTTTTGTAAAATAAAAAAAATTACAAACACGAACATATATTAATGCATGTTTATTTAAAGCGTGATTTTGTTCTCGCTAATACACGAATTACTTCAGGAAAATTATAATTTTTGAAATTTCTTTTTCGATGCTTAATATAGCAAATGCATTAAGCCTTCTGCACACATGCTGGATCGAAGATAATTCTTTATTAATTTTAATTTGCCGAAAGAGCGCTCAGCACTTGCTATAGTAACTGGCAACGCAAAGAAAAGTTTTAATACATTTAGAAATAACTCATTATAATTATTATTTAGTATGTGTTGTGCGTTATTTACATCCCTTTCATTCAAAATCAAATCCCGTAGCAAACCAATTTCCTGGATTAGGTTTTCATCTATATCTTTGTTATAATGGAACATTTTTCTAATTCATGTTTTTCTAAGGTTTTCATATCAGTGATTAATTTGAAATCAGAAATAATATTTGGTATACTTTTAAATCTATCTTCTATTTGTACAAGAACAGTATCAATTAGAGTGTTAAAAAAATAACATGTAAAATTCCTCTACCGGGTTTTCTAAAGCTTCACCTGCTATTTCGGAATACTGTATAACCTTTTCCTTTTTCAGGAAAATGTTCTGAAATATTCAAATTACGTGCTAGCACTTTTACTTCGTCTAAAAATGTGTTAAATTTTGGATTTCAGTTTTAATTTTATTGACTAAATTAAAAGCCGACTCAAGAATAATTGTTTTTGCTTGAAATAATATTGATAGCGTTGATTTTACACAACATTGCAAACCATAAAATAAATGGCATTTCTTGTATTGAATCCAATAGACTTTTAGCGTCGGATACCGCTGTATTATCGTTACTTACATAAATAAATTCTTCTAGGACATTACAAGTTTGTTCAAACTGTGTATATGTTACTGTGAATGACCGATATCTGGCGAATGTCAACATTCACACAGTCGTTTCGTGTATGTACGAAATATTTGCTAAATAATCATTTCTCACTTACACCGGCAAATGTCGACATTCGGCACGCACTGATGGTGAATGCTCAATAAAAATATTTTTATTACGTTAATATGTCAAAATAGGAGAAAGCTTAAGTAACGGCACATGTAAATAAACTGTTGAACCTAAAACGAACAGTACGTTCTAAATCATTAAAGAATATAATACAATAATAAACTTACACATAAATTGTGTGATTGACGTCGTACAATCTTATTTATTGCAATAACTTAAACTCTTATGGCACTTTGAGTCCCTCGCTTTTACAACTGCATTTATTCGTGGAACACTTCTTTTTGCAATGACAGCGTGTACAGTAGACCTCTATAACCACTGTAGGGGTCACTTAGATTTTACAAATACGTGTGTCGGGCTGTGAACGGCTCACGTATTTGTAAAATCTAAGTGACTCGTACAACATGGAATTCATATAACACGGAAATATCTACAGTGTTATAGGAGAGTCTACTGTATAGCCTTACCCTCTACTTTCGATTTAGCTGTAGCTGCTTTACTCAACGATATTTCTTGAGAAGAAATCTCATCTATGAAAAGTAACTTTTCTTTACAAATTACAACCTGATTACGTAATTACGTGATTACGAATTGATCTGTTAATAGTGTCTTTTATTCGGATATAGCCGACGCCTTACCGACGAACCCTCTCATCCTCCGCCACTCGACCTGACTAACCGATCCCCACATCACGGGATCAAAAGAACAAAAACTCCATCCAGTGACAAAGTGGGCGATTTCCACCAAACCGTTGCCAGGAAAAGAGGTACGACCTTGTCCTACCTCCGACTATCCACAAAGGATTTGGCCACAGACTGCCGCCTCTCTGTCGACATCGGCTTTTCGGGTGTCGTTTCGACCTCCACCAAAGCTTATCTGTGCTCGTCGACATACACCGGCGATTGTTCGAATGTTTAATAATATAACCAAATATTCGGTCTTTCACCGACGTATTTTGTATGTGTCGACATT